CCCATTTAGGGACACTGCTTCTGTCAGTGAGCCATGACTCGTCCCAAAGCACTTTTCCCCCAATGCCAGAGATCCACTTTTTTAACAGTCTATGGTCGGAACTCTATCAAAAACCCCTTACTAAAATTTAGTAAATAAAATAAAATTCTTTTTCGTGGCAACAGCCTCAAAAGCTTTCCGAAGAAATTTAAATAAATTGTTAGACAAGCCCGGCCCTTGTGAATCCACTGAGTATCTTTATCAAGCTTGTTTCGAGATGGCTTCTTATATCTCAGCTATAATTGATCTAGTTTTTTTGCCTAAAATTGAGGTGGGCTTATTGGGCGGAAATTTTGGGGAACGACTTTTTCCCCTGTTTTAAAAAATAGGAATTACATTGCCTTTTCCCAATACAGACACTACACCTGTTTGAGGTTAAATTAAAAATATTAGTTATGGTTCACGGTTCCTTTTTTGCTTTCCTTAAAACCCCTTGAAAAAACCATCGGAAACCCGGCGATTATTTTGTTTCAGTCTTCATCGTTCCAAAACCCTTTTCAAGTGACTGTGTGTACATAATTTATCTTCTTCGGGCCCCACTAAAAAAAATTAAATTTACTGGAATATCGTTAGTTCTTCCTGTGTAGAAACTGAGAGAAAAAAATTATTAAAAATGAGCACATTCATTCTCTTTGTCAGTAAGGTCCCCCATAGTTTTTTTTGGGGGCCTATCTTATCTCTAATTTTGTTCTATAGACCTGGAAAAAACTTTTTGGGTTAGTTTTAGAATCCCTAGCACTTTAATTTCATAGTCCCTTTTAGTTTTTTATCCCTTTTTAATATCCCCTTTAATGTAAATTTATGTTTCATAAGTGACCCTCACCTCTTTTGTACCCCTTAATTTCCTTTTTATCCCCTTTAGATATTTGAGCCATTATTACCTTTTTGGGTTCATTTCTTTTGATCAAAATTTCTTTATAGGGAAAAACGTTCTTTGGCGCAGTATAGTGTTCAAAAACTGAAATTTTGTTATTCACTTGTTCCCATCAACAGATGAAAAGTTTTCTAACCCCCGAATTGCAAAGCGAAAATCTGGGACTTTTAAACTGTGTTTCGTTTTTTTTTTTATTCATTCAATGCTAAATGTAATTGTTTTGTGGTCGCTGCACCCGTTCCCTGAAATTTCTAAATTTTAACAAGGGATTCATTTTTTGCCTAACTAAGTAAAGCAGGTTTTTTCCCCCTTGTAGGTTCTTTCACAAACTGTTTTCAAAAAACATCTGAACATTCTAAAAAGTGTATGTTTTCTAAATTCCCAGTCAAGAAATTCCAATCAATATGATAAAGTTAAAGTCTTTTGATTATACATTATGGGCCCTTTGTGGCCTTAAAAATTTCCCCCCTAGTATCCCCCTTGGTCCCTTTTAAAGTTTGGGGGACGGTATTTCACTCCTAAAATTAATTTTTCATGCCCCTCTGAAAATTCTACCCAAACAGATCTGTATGTGTTATTCAGACTTAAATCCCCGTTTTTATGAAAACAGTTAAAGCGATTCGGACATCAATGCCACCCACCCCCCCCTTCCCGTTACTTCTATCTATTTGGGAAAACAATTTAAAAACCCAAATATGACTTCCGCGGGCATGTCCCGACTTTTTAAATTAAAGCAGTCTCATTAGGCAAATACATCAATGTTTACCTGCACTAGAAACTAATCTCAACTCGTCCATTTATTCCTAGATTTCGGCAATTAGCATAATAAACATTGAAAGACTCTCCTTTCTCTTTAACCCCTTCCGCCTTTTTTTGTTTTTCTACTAAACCCTTTACTGTCCTTATCACCCCCAAATCCCTGGGTTTTCAATATTACCTCGTTTGTTTTTTACTGTTCCCTAGAACTGTAAAATTACTACACTGGACTTCCCTGTTTCCTGCCAAAACCCCTACCCCTAACTATTTCCTATTTTAAAATCCTAATGCTCCCTCCATGCATTGCCCGTGTACCACCCCAGACCTAGATAAGTGAACCCCTCCCTGGCAATAATGCATTTTGCCCTAGAAGATCCCGTTGTCATGAATGTTACCGCATTTTCCTTACAGCATTTGCCCGCCGCAATTGCACCCCAATTTCCCTGGGCAACCTTCATTTCCAACCCTCTCCTTGGCAAAATTTCCCTATGACAGGGTTCCCCCCCCTTATCCTAAATTTTTTCTATTGCTGACCCTTTCCCGCAATCGGCTTCACTCCCCACGTCGCCAAAAACGTTGCCTCCAGCACTGAGAAGATAAAAGGATTGCCCCATTCCTTCATGATGTCTCCCGATGGTAAAACTCCCCATCCCCGCCCCATGAAGCAAACTCTCTGTCTCCACCCTGTCCTTCAAGCGAACGCCTTTTCCTAACCCAAATTGGGTTCCCCAACAACAACAATATTCTTACCTTCCCTTTGGGGCGTCGTCATGTTTTCCAGTGTCACTCACATTGTCGGGTAGCCTGGAAGTATTTGATGTTTCCACCCCGTTTCCAGGCAGTTTTCTTTCTTTTTCATCGTTTCACCTTTCCATTCGCTTCTTTATCGCAACTTGTTCCCCGCTGTTAGCCATGACCAGTTTCCTTTTTGACCTGAGGACCAAAAAAGGGGGAATATACGAAACTTCTTGTTTTCCTGTCAGTGCCTTTCTCCAATTCGCCATCCTCAAATTTCTTCCTTAAGCTGTTGGTAAAGTTGCCGTGGAGGGCTCTTTTTCAATTTGTAGGGCGCGCAAAAAAGGTCTTCTGAGTAAATACCGTCAAGACTGCCAGTAACTCTCTAGCACGATAAGAGACAACCCCAATAAGTGTCCGGGGGGCCCCAAGACGTTTTTAACGCCTTCCGCATATTAAAAAAGGGATTACCAATAGAACCCCCCCGGGTGCTTTAACAGGCACTGGAAAAAGGGACCTAAAATCAGTACCTCCATCCGGCTGGATTTTACGTCGGGTTTTTGTCGGCAAAAGTAAACCCCAGTTGACAGGCCCTTGCCCCAAGGAGGGCCGTCACAGGAAACCGGGGGCCCCGGGGGGGTTTTCCCCCCAAACGTATTTTCGGGTTTTGTCATTGTTAGTTTTCAATGATCATTGTTAGTTTACGTTTGTTCATTGTTAGTTTACAATGATCATTGTTAGTTTACAATGCAAACAGTTATGTTAAATTTTTAGTTTTCAATGATCATTGTTGTTTACAATGATCATTGTTGTTTAAATTTATCATGTTAGTTTACAAAGTATTGTTGTTTTCAGTTAGTTCATTGTTTTTACAATGATCTTGTTAGTTTACAAAGATCATTGTTAGTTTTACAATGATCATTGTTGTTTAAAAAACATTGTTAGTTTACAATGATCATTGTTAGTTTACAATGATATTGTTAGTTTACAAGATCATTTTTGTTTACAATGATCATTGTTAGTTTTCAATGTTTATTTTTTGTTTCAATGTCATTTTTAGTTTACAATGATCATTGTTAGTTTACAATGATCATTGTTAGTTTACAATGATCATTGTTAGTTTACAATGATCATTGTTAGTTTACAATGATCATTGTTAGTTTACAATGATCATTGTTAGTTTACAATGATGATGATGGTTATTGTACAGTCAAGTTTTAATGTTAGTATTCATTGTTTTTTTCTAAGCGATAAAGTTCAGATGTGATGAAATATTTTTAGGAAATAACAAAATGTCGTTGTAGATTGTACTAGATATACATCTTGTACTGAGAGTACATGTAGTATGTACTCCAGTGAGTGTGTACTTTTGTGTACATGTGTGTGTTTACGTATAAGCCTGTTTATTGACGTGGCCCCTGGGACTCTCTCTCCAGGTAATATGTATGTATATATATATATAATATATATATTATATATATATATATATATATATATATATATATATATATTATATTTATATATATATATATATATATATATATATATATATGGAACAGAATTCTTCCTCCGTAAGCCATGCGTGTCGTAAGAGGCAACTAAAATGCCAGGGTCAAGGGGCTAGTAACCCCTTAATGCCTTTCCATTACTCTCCCACTCTATGTAAAAAAAATCTTGTGTACTTTTGGTACGTTGTTTACAATTGTGGCGCCGAGTATGGCGCAAAGTAATCCTTATCCTTATTATCTTATCTTATCCTTTTGTTTTTTCCTGCATTTTGTTCATTACCGGTGTCAAGACAGTAGTACTGAACACTTGCTTCTAGGCTGTGGGACTGAATCTTATCATTTTTTACCTCTCCAGTCCTTTGTATTGTATTAATCAAGACAGCGGCTGACGGAACATCTACAAACTAGATACCCAGATGTTGCATGTGTCTAGTTCATCATTTTGTCAGTAATATATACCATTGATATTCAGTCATCTCATACAGAGTATGTAGTCAACCCATGTTTTTTTCTTATTCCATAACAGCGATTTTATTATGGAACTCCAAAAGGATCAAGAAGAAGGGTTTGTCGTCGCTAATTCCACATAAGTTTTCTGTAACAGATTCAATTTACTATAGGTTATCTGTCAACCTCCTCTATATTTTTTCTCCAAGTCTGGCCAATTTCGTGAAATTTGTTTTCCAGCTGCCTGACTTACCCCGTCTTTATTGACTTGTTGCAGATCTTTGTTTTTTACGGCTTCACATGATGCTTCTCCTCACATCAGTACTCATGGTGATATGTTGTCCATGGTTTTGTGTACCCACTTCCTTTCTGTGTTGGTCTCTCCTTTATTCTTTCCCATGGAAGACCAGAAACTTGTTTAGTGTATGTGCGTTCGGCAACACCTGGACGGTTGACCAAGAAGCTTATCAGCAACACATCCTGCACGTTATTCCCCTCACCAGATGGCTTGGGTCAGGGGGTCGTGTGGAGAGAGGAGGCATCCTGGAGGGGGGAGTGGATTTGGGGGGGTTGGAAGGATGAAGGAGGGAGTTGTGGATGGTTCTTGTAGGTGGAGGGACTTCCCAGTGTTTAGTTTTAGAAGTGGTGCATCAACCACTGTACAATACACTGAACTGCCTTATATTGTGTCAGGTTAGTTCTTGAATTATGTTCGGAGTTCTTCTTTCACGTTATGAACTTCGATGATTGCTGCGGTGTAAGCTTGCTCCGTAGTGGAAGCGATCAGTGACTTCTGGGATGACTTGTTGCTCTGCTGACAGAACACTCGGCCTAGAATTCGACAGCTACAGTCTTGAGTCCCCGTGCTAGGTGAAATACATGAAAAAGTCTTACTGTAATTCACTCTGCAGTAATTGGCTACCTAGTTCTTAGTTGACTATGGTGGCTTGCATCCCTGGGGAAAGATCCTGACGAAACAGGCCTCTCTGATTGGCTTTCAGGGAGGTTTTTCTCTGGGGTATTATCCTCTTCGGGTTTAAAAATCCGAAAGAAGTTTTCGTTTGTGACCTGAGACTCCATAGAGCCAATCCTCGCTCTTCCCAAAGACAGTTTTCTCGTATATGTTGCCAAACAAGAGCTTATCCAGCGGTGGATTTCTTTCATGTGTACAAATGATATTAATAATAGTTTTAATTAAAAAAAAATGTATAAATGCTACAGTATTGTGTTATGTGTGTACTCACCCATTTGTGGTTGCAGGGGTCGAGTCTTAGCTCCTGGCCCCGCCTCTTCACTGTTTGCTACTGGGTCCTCTCTCTCCCTGCTCCATGAGCTTTATCAAACCTCGTCTTAAAACTATATATGGTTCCCGCCTTCACTACGTCACTTTCTAGGCTATTCCACTGCCTAACAATGCAGTTAGAATGCAGTTAGAAGCCTGAGTAGATTATAACCCACTATGCATCAACTTGTAACGTAGATAAGTATGGTCTTTGAGAGCAACTTGCAATGTGAATACAGACTAGAATGATTGTTGTAGGGCCAGGCTTAGGGCGCTGGTTACTAGTTCTTATGGCAGTTTGGGAGACACACAGATGATGATCAAAACTAATGTACAAATAATGTGATCATGTCACTCTCTTGAACACTATTGTGCTTAATGTCCACTTATTGCTGGAATACTGAGACAGACAGTATTATAAATCTCATGTGACATGTCAAGTTTTCTTTTTAATGAAAATAAGATACCAAGATAGACTAAGCAAATTTCTAAAGTTGCTTGTAACGATAAGTGATCTATAGTTATGTAGATATAAATCATATGTATTCCTGTTAACCCTTTGGGGCCTAGTTCCTAGGCCTTTTGTGTATCCATATGCTCTCGCGCTACCGTCCACAGGATGGATATGGGGTGCCAATAAACTAGCCAATTCGTGGGCCATAATCTAAACTCTGACTGAAGAAAATAATTTCTAAAATTCCCTTTGACTCATCTGAGTCTGTAACTTCCTAATCTGTGACCACTTATTTCTATGTCCCCTCCCCTCCCTGTGTGTGTGTGTGTGTGAAGCGAGTAATGTTGGACGATAATTTACTAACAGAATGATTGTTAATATTTGGGCATTGGTTAACCTCGTGTACGCTGTTTACATACTGGATGGAGTACTGGGGTTTTTTTTAATTTTTTTTTTTTTTCCAGCCCCTCGTTGCCTGGTATTGTACTGGTAATAACCTATTTGTACTAATTTATGTTTGCAGGGGGTTGAGTCATCGTCCTGGTCACTCTTCGTTTGTTACTACTAGGTCCACTTTCTCCCTGGTGTTGGATGACATTGGTACTTGTTAATGTACCAGCGTTTTTATTTCTGTTGATGGTTTACACTTACTGGTTACTGTCATGTAAGTAATAAATACAGTACACATGGTACCTTGGAAGTATTTGTGGATATAAAATCGTAATTGCCGACTGTAATGGAGGAAAACGGACACAAGTACGGAACGAGATTAGAACGCCTTTCACAGTAATGTTTCGCTATCTTAAGTGCTCTGTCTAGTTGTGCATCGTTATTTGAGATTGTCAAGTCATGTTTCGCTCTTGTAGCGCGTTATCAAGTATGTTTCGGGGGCTCTCGGTAGCGCTCTTATTCAAGTTATCGTTTCGCTCTCTGTAGCGCTTTTAACCAAGTTAATGTATTGCTTTGTGTAGAGAATTATATAAGTTGTGTTCACATTGCTGAGATTTTGGGTCAGGGTATAACTTTTTGCATTAAGGGTTTCAAGTTAGTTTTGGTCCAAAATTAAAAGTTTTTATTTCTTTGTAAAATAAAAAAATTAGCTATCAATCTGTATAAGAATTCTGTGAAAAAAATAATTTTTTTAAGGGTGTTCGGCCTATTAGGTACGACCAACACACACACACACACACACACACACACACACACACACACACACACCACACACATGCAACATACACACACACACCACCCACACAAACATACACACACACACAGACACACACACACATACACACACATACAAACCACAACCACACACAACTCACATACACATTCACACCAAACACACACACACACACACTCCACACACATCACACCAAAACACAGCACACACGGGTGGGGACACAGAAACAGAGGCCACAATTGGAGTTGAAAGTCGCAAATGAGTCAGAGAGGAACTAGTAGGAAGTATTTCTTCAGTCATTAGAGTTGTAAGGCAGTGGACAAACTAAAAAATAGCCTAGAAACTCAGCAGAGAAAATGACGTAGTCGGAGGGCAGGAACCACAGACAAGGATTTTAAGAGACGAGTTTTGAGTAAAAGCTCATTGGAGCGGGGAGAGAGAGGAGAGAGCGAGAGAGAGAGAGGAAGGGAGAGAGAGGGTCTAGAGCAACCGGTGAAGAGGGGCCAGGGCTCGGGGCCCCAGAGGCAGAGACGAGAGAAGGGAGCTAGGATTACCCCGCCCACTGGCTAACTACATCAAACTAGGTGTGTTACAATTAGGTGAGTACACCAACACACTCACAACCCTCAAACCACACACACACACCACAAACCACACCTCACAACACACACACACTACAGGGCAGGGCGGAGACGTCATGTGGGGGGCTAGTTTCTACTCCCGTTGCCCTCGTTCACCTAGCCTGTAAATAGGACCTGGGTGTTAGTCGACTGTTGGGGGTCGCATCATGGGGGGCTTGGTCCAATCTACGATACCTGAGAGACTCGAAATCCCTCAAAACTTGGGGGGGGGGGGAACATAATTGCTCTCACTCAGTGAGTGAGAACCAGTGAAGAAAAACTCTGAGAAAATCGTACCAATGTACAGTGCCCGCAAGGCACACCTGACAAAAAACTGCCGCAAGGCGACGAAGAGATGCCGAAAGAGCACACGTAGTGATGAGTGAAGTGGCCTTAAAAAAAAAAGCCTAAAACTAGGATAGGGAAGTGGGTGCCCCTGAGTATCTCTGGTTCAGCACTGATCGCATTTTCGGGGCCAGGACTCGGACTCGACCCCGACGCTACCCTAATACTAGGTGAGTACAAACTCACACAAACACACTACTCACTCTCACACAACCACCTAACACTCTCACAACACACTCATATATATATATTTAATATATATATATATATTTATAATATATATATATTATTTATAGATATTTATATATATTATATATACTTTATATATATATATAATATATTATATATATGTCGCTTGCGAATAGCAGTACTTGCGATCTTTGCTTAATTAGCAACGTTCATCTTGCCATATAGACAAGTTGAAAATTTGTGTATGCAATAATTTCGCAAAATCAGTCGGAATTAACGAAAATTATCATATTTCACTGTGTTTGTTTAGTATTAAATTACTGTAATCTAATATCTAAATAATATTTTGTTGGGTTTCGGCCTACAATATATTGTTCTTGAATTTAATAAGGTTAGGTAAGTTTTCTCAAAGGGACTTTTTTGGTGCAAATTATAAAATTTTTACATCAACATTAATGAAAAACAATTGTGTTTCAAACGTATACAGAGGAAAATTTTAGAACAGGTCTTAATTTTAAATGAGTTCTTGCTAATTGGGGGGACCCCCAAAGTTTTACATTTTCGGCACTATATATATATTATATATATATTTATATTTATATATTTATATATATATATATATTTATATATATATCTATATATAATTATATTTATATGTAATGTATGTGTGTGTGTATGTGTTACTCAACTAGTTGTTACTCACTAGTTGAGGTTGCAGGGTTCGAATCCTTGCTCCTGGCCCCGATTCTTCACTGGTCGCTACTAGGTCACTCTCCCATGAACCGTGAGCTTTATCTTACCTCTGCTTAAAGCTATGTATGGATCACTGCCTCCACCCTACCATTGTTTCCCAAACTATTCCACTTACTGACTACTCTGTGGCTGAAGAAATACGTCCTAATACCTGTGTTCTCTGAGTCTTCACTTCCAACTGGGTCCCTTGTTACTCGTGTCCAATCTCTGGAACAGTATGTCTTTGTCCACCTTTGTCCAATTCTCTCTAGTATTTTGTAGTCGTTATCTTGTCTTCCTATCTCTCCTGTCTCCTGTGTCGTTAGGCATTTTCCCTTAACCTCTCCCTAGTAGGACATACCTTCCTTAGCTCTGGGACTAGTCTTGTTGCAAACATTTGCACCTTTCTCTAGTTTTCTCTTTACGCGCTTGGCTAGGTGTGGGTTCAAACTGGTGCCGCATACTCCAATATGGGCCTAACGTTCAAGGTTGTCTACAGGGTCACTGAACGATTCCTTATTAATGAGTGGGGACGGAAATGCTGTTCTGAGGTTTGCTAGGCGCCCATATGAGTGACAGCAGTTATTTTGGTTGATGTGCGCTTCTGGAGATGTGCCTGGTGTTATACTACCCAAAGATCTTTTTCCTTGAGTGAAATTTTGTAGTCTTGGCCCATAGACTGTAACCGTCTGCGGTCTTCTTTGCCCTTCCCCAATCTTAATGGCTTTGCACTTGGTGGGGTTGATCTACAGGAGACCAATTGCTGGGACCATGGTCATGCAGCATGTACCAGATCCGTTTTAGCTTCTGATTGGTATTCCAATCGAGTTGAATTCTTTTCACATCAACTTCACGTATCTGCAAACAGGGGACACTTCGGAGTCTA